GCCTGCTTCTCCCTCTCCCACTCCCCCTGCTTGTGTTCCCTCCCTCGCTGTGTCTCTCTCTGTCAAACAAATAAATAAAATCTTTAAAAAAAAAAGAAAAAAGAAAGACTTCTTAAAAAAAAAAAAGATTGGAGCCAATTTTTCCAACTCCAAGATCCATGCTCTTACTCACCTGTGGCCATCCCCTCCCATTCCCTCCAGACAGACAAGAGTTCTTCTCTCAAGAAACAAACCAGGCACAGATGTATCACGTCCATCATAGGGGCAATATGATGAATCAGAAGGAGCCCTGGAAGGACAACTCAGTTAATCTCCCAAATGATTCCTGTTTGTGTAGACAGTGACCATGGCGGCTGCTCGACAAGATAGCTTTCTGACACCGCTGCCCTTGGTTCCTCGACAAAAGCAGAGAAGAGAAGAAACAGCCGTAAGCTCTGATCCGAAGCCTGAGAAGAGCGTCTTCAAGCCACCCGGGGCCGGAAGCCTTTGGATAATGTCCTCCCCATCCTGTTCAGCTTTTTTTGAGTAAGTAAACTACACAGAGGGAAGCACTGTTGAGTATTTCCTAGAGAGACTCTTTCTCTTGCAGAGGGAGGCCCATAGAGCAAGTAAAGAGAAGACGCTAATGGGAGAGAAGATTTGAGGGGATTAAAAGGATAGTGAGGGCGCGGTTCTCCACAATCTGACTCCAAGGACAGAGGAATGATGTTTGGCTGTCATTGCAAGAAGCTTCTGGTTGATAAATACTGTCTGGAATTTCCTTGCTGATTTCTCACCCTCACACCGCAGGCCCCATCCCTGTGGTCCACTATGCAAATGCAAATTACCTGAATCAGGCTGTGGGTGACTTACCGACCCCCCCCCTTTAAAGCAACCTTGGGTCTGGGGCAGAGACTGTGCAGGGTGGAAGTCATGGCTCGCAGACTCTGCTTCTCCTACTGGCTGTTGGTCTGCTGGGTGGTGGTAACTGTGGCAGAAGGTAAGGGTTTTGTGTTTATGATCCTGTGGGTCCCTAATTAATAAGTTGTGTGAAAAGACAAGATTTGGCTCCATGACTATATCCATATCCATAAATTGGAAATCATTTTGTCAGCTTCCATTAGCTTGTGTGATTAAAGGAGAAAGAAGCTAAAATTTATCATCTGAAGACCTTGATCCTACTCTCAGCCCGAACTATGTGATGTTAGACGTACTTAACCTTTCTGGTATCAGTCCCCTTGTATGTGAAGTGACGGATAAGGATAATCATTATGGGGGTTATGAGGACCAAATGAGCTGTCATGCCAGAAAAGCTCTTCAAGCTTAAAACACTATACTAGTTATTACTGTTGTAGAGGTAACAATTTCCACCCTGAATTACAGCAACATCCTTCTTGTTATCCCCAGCAGCACAGTAATTTGCATATGGTGGCTGTTCAGTCTCTGTTTGTTAAGTGATTTAATTAATCGCAACTAGTCAGCTGAATCTTGGTGCTACTAAAGTGAGCATAGATTTCTTTCTCTAAGATTATATTAGATTCTATCTCTTCACTGCTTCTATTCTCTTTCCTTTCCCCCATGACAAAAATTCCCAGGTGTCCTGAACTTTAAAATTGGTCTGCAAACCCCTAGGGGAAGGAGAGAAAAGGCTAGGGAGGAGAGGATAACGAGGAAGGAGGGGAAAAATTGCTGGGGGACCTGGGTCTAATGTTGTTTCACAGTTCACCTTAGTTCCAGAACTAGATACTGTTCAGGGAGGCGAGACCCAGGATCAAACCAAGTCCCTGAGGGCTCTGCAGGGGCTCAGCCAAACCCTACTCATCCCCCAACACGTTCTTTGCTCCCCTCCCCCAAGGCTGGGGGCGAGACCACCAGAGATCACCTTGCCCAACCTCTGCCCGAACTCTGGCGATCAGAGGGCGATCACACCGCCCTGTTCCCAAGACCAGACCCCCAAGCACCACCTGCGGAATGTGACATCTAAAAGAGGCTTCGTAAAATAGAACTAGCCACCTGACATCTTTCCAGAAAGTGAAGCACTCTTCAGGAACCTTTGTAAATATTCAGCTGAACAAGTTCTAATGGCATTATAGGTTTATTCACATCTAAAAAGCACCAATTAAAAGGTGAGATTTGGGGCGCCTGGGTGGCTCAGTTGGTTGAGCGACTGCCTTCGGCTCAGGTCATGATCCTGGAGTCCCGGGATCGAGTCCCGCATC